GGGGCGGGGCGGGGCGTAGTGGCGCCGAGCGGAGCTCCTTACAGCCCCTATGCCCCGTATGGAGTCCTTATCGCCGGGGCACGAGCGGCACCGACAGCGCCTTTGGGTACCTCTGGGTAACTCTGGGCACCTATCGGTACCTTTGGGTACCTCAGGGTACCTCAGGGTACCTTAGAGTACCTTAGGGTACCTTTGGGCGGCCACGTGAGTCCGGGCCCCGCGGGCCTCCGGCACTCGAGCCCGGAGCTGCCTTTGTGTTGTTCCCCCGGCCGGCCGGAGGAGCAGAGCCTCCCCGGGGCGAGGCGACGGCCAGAGCCGCCGCCGCTCAAGCGTCAACTTTCCGCAGGGTGCGTCCAGTACAAGGTTACGGTGGAGCCTAGACCGGAAAGGGGGCGGAAGTGCTTGTCCGGGCGGAGGATGGTGTGGCTCGGGGAGTGGGAGGGAGGGAGGGGTAAACGGAGGCTAATGAAAGTCGCAGCGGGCAAAGGCAAGAGGACGGCCGGCCGTGTTCAATCGAGCCTGAAACTAGTCCCCTGGAAGAGGTGCAAGCGAGCCGTGTGAGACAGGGCTACAGATGTAAAGAGCTGAGAATGTTCTTGGGGCTCGCAAGCAGAAAATCGCCGCCAACTGAATATTTCCCTTCATAAAAGTATTGAAACTCAACTCATTTTATTTTCCTCCTTTGATTCTGTGATTTCTTGCGCTGCTGGATAATCGGCCATGGCTTCCCCTAGTTACGCTGCCGCGCTCGACTCCTACCCGCGAGGCTCGAACCCGTCCATATTTTACCCGCCTTGGTTATTCCCTCCCCGGGTCTACGCTACGCACGGCGAGCGGCCGCGGGCCGACCTGACTTCAATCTGGCAACCCGTCAGGGCGCGGGCGCAGCGGTTCGTGACTCTTCTCCATGCTCTAAACCCGCTCCCGACGGCGGCCGCGAGCCACCACACGGGTGTATGAACTGAACTGGCGCTCGGCCGCCGCCGTGGCCTGTACGAGGTGTATGGGCGGCGCGACGGTGCGTGGCGATGAGGGCTTGGGGTCCGCGGCCCGCGGGCCACGCTTGCGCGCTGCCCGCCTCGCCCCGCTTGTTCTCGCGGTGGTGTAGTACTCGGAGCAGGCCCGGCGCGGCGCGGCGCGGGCGAGTACCTCAGTCTGCTGCCGGCCGCGAGCGTCGCCACACCGCCCGCGCTCCGCCTCCCCAGTCCGCCTCGAGCCGCCGCCCGCCTCTCAGACTCTCCGCTCGCGGCCTGCGCGTCCTGGATATGGTCGCCGTCATGATGCTGCTTTTTCGGCCGGCGCCGGCCGGCGCGTGGCGACGCTTCACGCGGTCGTGTCTTACATAGTCGTGCGCGTGTGTCGTGAGTGAAGTGAGTCGTCTTTGGGGTTATCTGCGAGCGTGCGCGCGCGCGTGTGTGGGCGTGTGTCGACCGTTTTGCTGCTGGAAAAAATAAACAACAGCGTCGTTTCATCGGCGTGCGCCAGAAGGATTAACAACACACCGCGACTGCAAGCTGTGTCGCCCTGCAGTACGGAGGAGGACGGATAAGCCTGATGAGGTGAGCAGGGGTGACGACCGTCGTGTCCTCCTCGACACTCTACGACATCAGGACAGAGATCCGGCCGACCGGATGGGAACCAGGCCAGAGGCCCGGCAGCCGGCCGCGCGAAGGAAGTTTTGGTTTCCGAAACCTGTGCGCGCCGCTCGATATATAGCGGCCAATAAAAAGTGGTCGTAATGATAATAAAAAGAGATAGGGCCGCCGCATCGGCACATGTGGCGATTATAACGCCCAGCGGTCTCTCTCTCTCTGATCCGATCGACTGGTAACGAGGCGCCGCAAGTCCGCGGAGAGCCGGTGTAACAAGTGAGTATGTAACGTACGTACTGTTCGGCCCCGGCTGCGGCGCAGAACCTGTGTCGTTAGGGAAGAGTAGTGCCGTGCCGCTGCGGCTACGGCCGTTGTGACACAGAGGATGTCGTTAATAAAAACCTTTTCAACCTGCCGGTACTCCGCCGCCGGCCGGCCGGCCGTGCCGTGGTGCTCGGCCATGTCGTGGTATGGGGTGTCGCAAGGCGCGTAAGTGGCGCCTGCCATGCATGGGAATCGAACGCCCGGTTCATAGAAAACAAGGCGAAAAAAAAAACACGAGGGGGGCGTAGAACTTGGGAAGATTGCCAGGTCAGCGAGTAGCGTGGCGAAGAAGGAGTTGTTGTCCCCCTCCTGGCCTGGGCAGGGTGGCAGGTGGGCGGGGTGCTCGACGTGTGACCGCGAGGGGTGACAGCCGCGGGGGAGGGGTGGGGGAGTAGGGTAGGAGGGTGGCCGCCATTGGACCGTGGCGTGCGCCGAACCCGCGGCGCGCCACGCCCGTGCGGTCTGCCAGCGCTGTGACTTTGAGTTATCGTAATTGATGCAGTGCACGGCCAAAGAGAGTGTCTCTCTCGCGCGCGGACCGGAGGTGGGCGAAGAGGAGCAAGAGAGAGAGAGAGAGAGAGAGAGGAGATGGAGAGATGGTTCCCAGAGAGCACTTTGATTACACTGTGGAAATATATTTGTCATCACAATGACGGGCCCGCCGACCCATCGTCTTGTCCGCTCACAATGAAATGGGTTCGATATCTCGCGCCCCGCGGCG